CTGCTTCACTCACTCAGTGCTTCACTGGCCACTGCTTCACTCACTCACTGCTTCACTCGCTCACTGCTTCACTCACTCATGCATGTAGCTAAGAGGAGGAACAGTTCCTGACACCTGAACACATCTTTTATTGATAAAACAGGAAACAAAGAACGTTTAATAGAGAAAACCTTTTAAAATGAAAAAGTCTGTGACTCCGGATCAGTTTTGATGATATTAACTTCTCAAGATGAATATAACAAAATCTATATGAAGCTTTTGATTATTAAATGAATAGTTTAAGTCTAAACCTCTTATTTTAACTTGCTAATGAGATGTTGTCTTTTAGGACGATGTCCGAACGTTTTTATACAAAAGGAAAACTAAACTGAAACAATATTGTCCAGCCAAGAAAACACATTTTCATTTAATTAATTCATGTCAATTTTAGTCTTTTAACCAAGAGAATAGTTTGTTATTTATTCACCAGGAAGTGAGCTGCGTCCCGTCCTCATCTTACGACCTTGATGGTGCGTGTGCGTGTGTGTGTGTGCGTGCGTGCGTGTGTGTGTGTGTGTGTGTGTGTGTGTGTGTGTGTGTGTGTGTGTTGTGTCCACAAACAGGCTTGTTGTGTGGACAGCAGCTCATCACGGAATGTTCCACACACATTGATCACGTGATTCATTGATTCATCGATCGAAGCAGCTGAACACTTGAATACTATGAATCACAACTCTAGTTCACAAGATCTAGTGAAGCCGAGATGTGTGCCGTGTGTGTGTGTGTGCGTGCGTTCAGGTGTGTGTGTGTGTGTGTGTGTGTGTGCGTGCGTTCAGGTGTGTGTGTGTGTGTGCGTTCAGGTGTGTGTACTTTAAAGGTGACCTTTTAGCTGACTGCTGAAGTGGGTTAAAGGAGCGATCAGCTGATGTTTGTGTTCTTGGTGTCCTAACAGGAAGTGGAGCGTTGCTTCTGACACAGGACGGCTTTCTAGCTTCTAGAGCTCTTAAAGGGCCGGTACATCGAAATCCCCCCACGCAGAACCAGTGAAGTAGAACATACTAAAATACAACACAAGTAGAACCAGTGAAGTAGAACATACTAAAATACAACACAAGTAGAACCAGTGAAGTAGAACATACTAAAATACAACACAAGTAGAACCAGTGAAGTAGAACACAGCAGATTACTGATCTCAGAAATCTGTTTCCAGTTAAAGTTTAAAAGCTGTTATTTCAGTTTAGTTTCAGAGGGTCACCCAGTTTTAGAGGAACCACACCCAAACTGCTGGCACATATCACATATCACACACACACACACACACACACACATTTAAAGACGTAGTGCAGCAGCTGTGCCCTCATTGCTCTCCTTTGTCCTCTTCTCAGTTTTCATGTTTGTGTTTCCTTCATTGAATATTGGAAAGCTTCTTATTACATCATTAGGATGATGACGTCAGAGCTTCATGAGTTAAAGCTGCATTCTGCGTGGTGACCAGCAGGGGGCGACTCCTCTGCTCCCATAGACGTCTATGAGGAAATGACTCTACTTCTCTGTAGTGACCAGCAGGGGGCGACTCCTCTGCTCCCATAGACGTCTATGAGGAAATGACTCTACTTCTCTGTAGTGACCAGCAGGGGGCGACTCCTCTGCTCCCATAGACGTCTATGAGGAAATGACTCTACTTCTCTGTAGTGACCAGCAGGGGGCGACTCCTCTGCTCCCATAGACGTCAATGAGGAAATGACTCTACTTCTCTGTAGTGACCAGCAGGGGGCGACTCCTCTGCTCCCATAGACGTCTATGAGGAAATGACTCTACTTCTCTCTGGATTTATTCCCTCAGTAAACATTGTAAACATGAGTTTATGTCTCAGTCTCTAGTTTCAAGTCTTCTTCAATACAACATTAAAATAGCAATTAAATATGATTGAAATTTAAAAGAAATCATTTTTCACAAAAGCTGAAATTCTTAACTGAATTCACCTTGACTCTAGTCCAAGCAGGTGTTATCGTTTGTGCAGACTTTATTTTGAAAGGATGAACTTCCTGTGTGCAGGTTATGACTTTGCGGAGGTGCTGCGTTGGTTCGGGGAGCGCGTGGATCGGATCATTCTGCTCTTCGACGCTCACAAACTGGACATTTCAGACGAGTTCTCCGAGGCCATCCGAGCCTTCAAAGGACAAGACGACAAGATCCGCGTGGTCCTCAACAAGGCCGACCAGGTGAGAGGGTGACGAGCAACGCGAGGCGATGAAGACGTGATTGTTGAGCAGATCTGATCCTGTCTTGCTCACCTCTCAGGTGGACACGCAGCAGCTGATGAGGGTGTACGGCGCCCTCATGTGGTCGCTGGGGAAAGTGATCAACACTCCGGAGGTGGTGAGAGTTTATCTGGGATCCTTCTGGGCCAAACCGCTGCAGAACTCTGAGAACAGGTCAGGTATTCATCCGTTCACCCATTGAATCATCCATCTGTTTGTTCATCCATCCATTCATTGATGGATTCATTTATCCGTTTATTCATTCATGGATTCGTTCCATTATTCATCCATCCATTCACAGAGACCAGCTCCTCCTCTTCTCACTGCTTTTGGGTCACTGATTTAGTCTTTAACGATTTAGTTAATTGCGTGTTGTTTTATTTATTGATGAGTAAGTTAATCAATTCACCCGTTCACTTCCTCCACAGGCGTCTGTTTGAGGCGGAGTCTCAGGACCTCTTCAAGGACATCCAGAGTCTACCGAGAAACGCAGCGCTCCGTAAACTCAACGACCTGATCAAGAGAGCGAGGCTGGCCAAGGTGAGACGGGAAGTGTCGTGTTTGAGTGAACGCCGAAGGCCTTCGGTCCGACCCTGCTGAGGAATTCTGGGAATATCCTGGTTGTGTTTCAGAGACGGGAAAAAAGGCAGGAAATGAAAGCGCTCTGTCAACGAATGAAGCCGATGTTTTGGTTTCATGGAGGAATGTTCAGTCTTCCGTATACTGATTTATTCATTCATTCAGTCACTGAGTACATAACTTATATTAATTCATTCATCAAGTCACCCATTCGTCCACGTATTGATTTATTCAGCCATCCATGAACATCTGTACATGACAGATGTTCATCCATTCAACCATTAACATGAAGGCAGAGGAAACGCTGAGAAGAAGGTCTCAGCAGTCTGGTTGGAGCTCACGTTGTTTCTGTTCAGGACCTCCTCCTCCACATGATGAGGGATGGCTGTTATTCCTCCTTCACCCTCCCCCCAGAAGATAACCCTTCACCCTCCTTCCCTCCCTCCTTCCTTCCTTCCACCTCCTGTTGACTGGAATGAAGGACTGAAGAGTTCTTGAACTCCTACATTCCTCCTCCTGGGTGAAGTTTACCCTCAGTCTTCTGCTCTTCTCCTCCTTTTCTTCTTCACTCCTTAATGTATCCTTAATATCTTATGTCTCCTTCTTTCTTCATTTTCACCTCCCCATCCTTCTCTTTTTCCTTCGTCCTCCCCCCTCTTTGCCTCCTTCATCTTCTCCTCCACCCCTTCTTTTACTTCCTCCTCCACCTCATCTTCTCCTCTCGTTGTGCCCCCAGGTGCACGCCTACATCATCAGCTACCTGAAGAAGGAGATGCCGTCTCTGTTTGGCCGTGAGAAGAAGAAGGAGGAGCTTATCTCTCGTCTTCCAGAGATCTACTGCATCCTTCAGAGGGAGCACCACATCAGCCCGGGAGACTTCCCCAACGTGGCCAAGATGCAGGTGAGGAAGCCCCGCCCCCTCCTCTGTGTTTACCTCTCACCCACGATGCGTTCAGGGACCGCCGGGAATCTGAGCACAAAGACGCCCTTTACGCTGTAATCAAGGGTCAGAGAAATAAGTTTTACCTAAATGTACTTTAGGTATGGAAGTAATAGTACTCTCTCCTAAATGTACTTTAGGTATGGACGTAATAGTACTCTCTCCTAAATGTACTTTAGGCATGGAAGTAATAGTACTCTCTCCTAAATGTACTTTAGGCATGGAAGTAATAGTACTCTCTCCTAAATGTACTTTAGGCATGGAAGTAATAGTACTCTCTCCTAAATGTACTTTAGGCATGGAAGTAATAGTACTCTCTCCTAAATGTACTTTCGGCATGGACGTAATAGTACTCTCTCCTAAATGTACTTTAGGCATGGAAGTAATAGTACTCTCTCCTAAATGTACTTTAGGTATGGACGTAATAGTACTCTCTCCTAAATGTACTTTAGGCATGGAAGTAATAGTACTCTCTCCTAAATGTAATTGTAGGCATGGAAGTAATAGTACTCTCTCCTAAATGTAC